ATGAGACAGAGAGGGTGTGACATGGACAAGTTTGGTAAATTAGACAACAGCGAAAAAACGATCGCGATAATTGGGGATAGATGGTGGGCACAAGAGGCCCTAGAGGACGGGGATAAGATGTGCAAGAAATTTTTATGGAGTTTGTGGCAGAAACGTAAAGAGCTCCCAAATGTTGGTGGTGTCTCTAGTAGGTGTAGGAACGGTGCTCCGTCTCGAAAGGGACGCGTGGTCAATGGTCAAATGACTACGGCAAGCAACAAATGAGTACGCCCCCCCCCCCCCCCCCGGCCGTAAAAAAAAAAAAAACCCTGGGAATATCCCCTTTTTCGGGCCCTTTTTTGAATGCTGTGCGGGTGTTGTGCTGTTGCTCCGAAAATGCCCTTTGGTGTGGGAAAAAAAAAACCCCCCCAAAAGGAATTTTTTTAATTTTCCCATGAATCTGCAGCGCAATAAAATTGCTGGGGCCCAAAACCGTGGCGTTGGAAGCTTCTCGTCGAGGGGTTTCCGTGAAACACACATGATTTGGTTTTGGCGCCCTCTTCGTGCTGGAGAGGAACCGGGCTTTGAAAATCGGCTCAGAGGGTGCGGTTAGCTTGTGCAAAGCCTACTGCTGCAGCTTGCACACAAAAGAAAACAAACCGATCTTGGTCGCGTGGGTGTCGGGGGTCCTAAGATAAGAACATTCGCATCACGAATCAGGCAACAAAATCCTGGCGTTGGAATAAAACATGTGCACGCAGGTAGAGGAGGTGGAGTGCCAACTCACGTACCAAGACATGTCGCTCTTCAACGCCGTGCTGTCCGGGTGGTCGTCGGGGCTGCTCGTCCAAACGGTGGACGAAACGGCCGACGCGGGTACCGGCGATACCGCTTCTGCTGCTGTTGCGGCAGATGCTGCGGCAGATGCTGCAGTGTCGCCGTTGTCCGCCGCTGCTACGTCGGCGTTCGTACGCAACAGCAGCTCGAAGAATGGCTTCGAAGATGTGGACGCGCCGCGGTTGGGGATAGGGATGCCGCCGCAGCACGCGAACGACTCCGCCGACGCAGCGGCGGCGGCTGCCGGCGCCGCGGCGGCGGCTCTGATGGGGGCCTCCGCTTTGGACTTGGAGGACGAGGAACAGGAATACGAGGGCGAAGAAGGGGGCGAACAGATTCAGGTGGGATAACAAGATGTGATCGTGGTGCTCACTTGCTCTTCCACCGCCTTGAGGCGCCAGCGGCAGGCCTTAGATGTTGGCAAAGGTCTTTACCTTCGTCTTGCGCTTCTTGCTCCCACCCTTGGCATCCAACAGGCTGTTCTCCTGCACAACAGCAGTTGACTGTTGTTGTTGTAGCCTCTGCGCAGTACCTTGTCCGGTAGCGTCCGTACGAGGAGCACCTTCTTCATCGCGATCCACACACGTTTGCACCCCATGATTATTTAGTTTGGTTGTGCACGTGTTTCCTCGCTCCTCCCTTGCTGTCAGCCGCATTCTACGTTTTTTCTTGCACGAGGGTGTGATACCTGCAACCGCATCATATGTCATCGCACACGCGTAAACATCCTCCCGTTATTTTTTTTTTATCGCTTCAAACAAAATAAAATTGTACAACATTTTGTGGCCCCCGCCCCGTGTGTTTCTCGCCTTTGAAGACGACCGTACAAACTCTGAGGTATTTGCTGCGCGCGCATGTGTGTGTGTGTGTGTTTTTTTACTAGGACGGGAGGTTCTACGAGGTGGTGTTCGAGACCGCCCAGCTGGGAATCGTCCTTCTCAGACAGGTGTGTCATCGAAAGATTCACTTCAACTAGAGCGGGGCAGAGAAGCGCGTGAGGTTACAGTTCAACCAAAACGGGCCGCCGACCGTGTGCGAGACCAACGCCTGTGTGCGACGCCGGAATTGCTGTTAGGGTTGGGCTTTGATGCATGCTTGGCTGTGGTGTACGGCACGCGCCACCGCTTGAGATAGATCCTGGTAGTTCCGGGCTTGGAAGCTTGTAACGGTAAGAAATTGACCATAAGAGTAGGCGTTGAGCTAAGAATCCTATCCGAAGACAACATCGCCCGGTTGGTGTCACCACAGAGGAATAAAAAAGCGAGCGAGCCTCGAGAGCAACACGAGGTTCTTTAGTGGGGGGCGCGTCCCCGGCTCTGCATGGGTGCAAGGGCGGAGTTGCCAACAGTAAGGGTTACCTTCTGTGCGCCACCTACTGCTGTACCCTCCTCGTGTCGCCACCCCAATCCCATCGTTGACGGTCTCTCTAACTTGATTCACGGGCGCGAAATCAGGACG